GAGGAAGAGGAAGAAGAGGAAGAAGAGGAAGAAGAAGAAGAAGAAGAAATCTTTGCAATGTTTATTGCTTGATATAAAGAAACACAAATTACTTCTCAGTGCTTTGGACTGTTAGTGTTCATTACACAATCTACCCTTTGGTAAACCCAGATGAAATGCCTGAGAATAAGGTAAAATTTGATCTTTGCCTCCCCTTATTATAAAATGCAAAACAAAGACACAGGCAAACAAACCTGTGGCTCTCAGTGCCACTTCCAAGGACAAAAAGCATTGTATTTATCAGCAATTCATATGCAGTGTTCTGCATAAAGACTTAATTCACATATATGAAATATTAAACTATAGACATGTTAACTGTAAATTCTACCAAATAGAATTTTAAATTTTGATACTGATTCTTTCAGCATTATCCTCTGATGAAATGTGAAAAAAAAATACATTAAAATTGAATAGACCCCAAAAGGCTTGAGGAAACATACTAAAGAACATTTTTTGTTCCTGGATTGAGAATTTCCTGCATTGCAACCAATCAGAATTCATGGCCCCCTAGAGGCTGCAGAATATTTTATTCTGACACTCCTGTGCAAGCCACAGGATGGAGGCCTCTTAATTGAAACAGCCCCCTCAATTTCTCTTCAGAGTTCACCATTTAATTCAAGCATCAAATATTAATTAAAACAACCAGGCAAAATATCACCTCATTATCTGAGCACCACACAGGCTTGCTGGTTCCTTATAGGAGAGCTATTGCTAACAGCTGTTTTTGGTTTTAACCACCTAGCTTGGTGGTTTTGGTCAGAAAAACTCAAAAGAAAAGAATAACAAATATGCTAGTGAAAATGATGACTAGAATTGAAGAAATGGTTCTATTTCTCCTAAAACAAATCTGTATTACTTTAACACTATCCTACAGGCAGAGACCAATGAAACACAAACCAACTCTGTTAATGGTATCTGTTACTATTCAGATTAAATGACATCATGTGCAATGGGATGTAAAACAGGTTCATCAAGCTTGTACTGAGAACCTCCCCAGAACCCATCAAATATGCCAGATCACTCACAGAATATGGAGGCCTTCCTCATTCTACAAAGCCTAGTACCTAGACCTCTCACCCAACCCTTAGCCCTGGGAAATAAAAAGGAAACCCAGCCACACTTGCCTCCAGCTCTTGTTCCCTCTGCAAAGCAAACTGCTTGAAGGACTTGACGATCAGGCCAGCATTGGAGCAGTCATAGACGAAGATGGATGGGCTGCCCATCCATGTCTGTAGGTCATAGATGGACAGAGGGATATACTGTGTATAGTTCTGGAAACAAAGAAAAGACAAGGGTTATTGTTATGATTTGTGTCTAGTTGTACCCCCAAAGCCTCATGCAGTCATGGGGTGGCTTTGGGAGATAGTGATTGATTCATGATCCAATGCTAGGATTATGGGTGTGAGTGCCCTAAAGCAGATATTCTGCATTACAATGTGAGAATGGGAGAGAGGCTAGCTAGCTAGCTAGCTGCCTGAGCTGCAGCTTCTACTTTTGCTCTTTGCCACCTCCATGAAAGGCTGCTCTGTACCATGTGCTCAGGCCCTACCAGCCCTGCCCCCAGGGCAGGCTGAGCTGGCCAGAGTCTGGGCATGGTGGCACAAGCCTGTACTCCCAGCGCTGGGGAAGCTAAAAGCAGTAGGATCACCACAAGTCCAAGCTGCGTAGTGAGGCCAGGGAGATGGTTCCAGTGGAATACATGCTTTCCTGGCAAGCGCAAGGGTATGAATTCAATCCCCGGTTCTGTCAAAAAAAAAAAAAAAAAAAAGTTCAAAAGAGGAAAAAAAACAGAGTAACAAGCTGCGTAGTGAGACCCTGCAACAACAAAATACATTAAAAAACAAAGAAGAAGTAGCAGTAACAGGCAGCAGGGGATGTAGCTCAGTAGTAGAGCATTTGCCTAGTATGTAAGGCCCTGAGATCAATCTCTAGTACCACCAAAAAAAAAAAAAAAAGAAAAGAAAAGAAAAAAAGGAATAACATATGCTCTTCAGACATGTTCTTCAGTTTAATTCTTATAAAACTATAAATGACAACAAGCCAGACACCTTCCTATCTTTTCATATGGTAGGTATCATACTCCAGCAATGCCAACCAGAGACTAGATCGATTTTCCCATTCACTTCTGCAGTCCTAGAGCTGTTTTATAGGTGCCCCAGCTTCAGCAGCTCTTTGTAGGCTTGTACCCACTACTCCATGCATCCCAACCCTCACTTATCACCTTACAGGATATGTGTGCCATTAACACCATCTCTCCATAGCTGTTCTGTGGTTATAAGACACAGTGCCTCATTTACACAGATCTGCTTTGAAAAATTTATCAAGTACTCAAATGTGCATGATACCATAGATGCCCACAAGTGCTTTATTTTCTAGCTGATTTTTTATAATCCCACACAGCAACACAAGTGGGTTTGGCCTTGTAAATTTTTTTTTTCTGTATTTTAGGAAAGGGTCTACAGGGTGTTCAGGGTAGACTGGACTTATAGTGATTCTCCTGTTTACAGCCTCCCAAGTGCTGGGATTACAGGTGCGCCACCATGCCTAGTCTTAACTGCCTTCTCAGCGTGTCTTGGGGGCACGGCAGGCCCAGGGATCCAACCCTGGCCCCTGTCTCTGTTTGCAGGTGCTTTAATCCACGGAGTTATTTTGGCCTTATAAATTTTTTTTAAAATCACAATACAGTAAACTATTAACACTAACCTACTAAGTGAGACACTTTTTCGACACCCAATTCTGTTCTGAAAAGACTAATGATTACTTGTAAGCACAGCGGGGAATATTCTTATCTCATAAGAAAAATGTCCACTCAATATTTTAAAGCAACTCTTCAAGAATATTTTCACTTATCTTTCCGTGGACATCAATGATGTAAGTGGAAAAACTGACAGAAATAAAATTTTGCACACTCAGATTAAAGGTGAGATCATTTCTTAGCACTTGGAGCCAACATGGCCTCTGGTATGCTTTATGGTTCAGCAGGAAGTCAAGAAGATCCAACAAGACCTGGAGAAATGTGGCAGAGTGGCCCCACAGAAGCTCGAGCAACAGGGACAGTAAAGCACAGTGTGCAAATCACCTCTCGGATGGGACAATGTAATGTGCCACCAGCAGAGGTGTGCAACATCTACAGCAGGAGGAAGGCCACTCTGTGTACACTCTGCCATTTCATTTTGTGACACTGTCCTTATTTGGTGGATTGTTTACAATCACTGCAATCTGTGAGGAAAACACCTGGAAAAGTTCTCTAAGTAAACTCTCCCTGAAAGATCTAAAGATGCCAATTCTCCCCTAATGAGTCCATACCATCAAAGCAAGCACAATCAAAACACACACAGGAGTATCCTTTGAAGGAATCTGACATGATTCTAAAGTGAGTACATATGAGAAATGCACAAAATTAGAAAAAAAAATTAAGAATAATCACTACTCAGCACCATCAGATATTAAATACACTATAAATTTGTGGTAATTACAGGTCCTTCCTGGACCCTAATAAGAGACAAACAAATCAACAAAACAAAAAGCCCAGAATAGACCCACATACATAAATATAATGACAGTGGCATTTTAAATCAGTAAAAAAGGAATGAACAATTCAACGAGTGATATTGGAGAATTTAATTAAACATCTGATATTGCCACCTTAAATTCTATTAAAAAAAAAACAATATGTGAACTATGAAACCCAAAGGGCTTAGAAAAGTCTTCATAAATCAAAAAACCTAGAAGTCTTGCAGAAATGGACCAACAGATACAATGATCTAAAAAAAAAAATTCTGATAAAAGTACAGAGCAGTGGGCCAGGGAGATGGCTTAGTGGAATAAGCGCTTCCCTGGCAAGCGCAAAGCCCTGGGTTCAATCCCCAGTTCCGCCAAAAACAAAACAACAACAAAACAACAAACAAAAACACAGCAGCCGGGCATGACATACATTTGTGATCCCAGTATTTAGGAGGCTGAGGCAGGAGGATCACTGAGTCCACACTTAACCTGAATTACAGAGTGAGACCCTGTCTCAAAAAGGAAAAAACAAAAACAAAAAAATATATCTATACATAGCAATGAATGGCAAGCTCATCAGAAGAGTGACAGAATTTATACTTGAAATATGTGTATATAAGCTTCTGCTACAAATCAAAAAAGACAACAAACAAAACTGGTAAGAGATCCAAGTAGTCAATCTACAGAGCAAATGTGAATGATTAGTGATTATAAACCAGGTTTTACACTTTCAATTGACCATGGAAATGTAAACTATGAGAAGCAGTCTATCCTATGTATATATCCATCTATCCATCTACCCATTACCCATCATCTATCCATCCATCCATCCTTCCATCCATCCAACCATCCATCCATCCATCCTATTGTGTTTTCATTCAGCAAACTGCAAAGAAAGATAAAGAATAGGTAATATCCTATGTTGACAAGGATGTGTTGATTTGTCATTAACAGGGCACTTATTTAATGGTGTGAATGGAAACTGACAAAGTGCTTTGGAAGACAAGTTGATAGTATTGATAAAACTTTAAAATGTACATTCATTTTAACTACTTCTAGACGTCCACATTTTAGAAATACTACTATTTACACAGAGATACTGGCACTAGGAAAAAACTGTAAACTATCTGGATGCCACCATACAAAGAATAGGGATCTAGCTATTTGTTTTCCCTCTCTTCTCTGTTGAGGAGACTCTTAGCTGAATACATTGACCAATTTCCTTTGCAGCTAAGTTCCCTCATGATGCTGCATTCTATCCAATGCGACATGAGTAGAAGTGATGTGTTCACATTATAGATGTTGCCATCAGTGCCCATTCTGGAGGTCATAGATGTGGTAAACAACTCAAACACTGCTGAGGATGACAGGTGAAGTACAGCAAGAGCTGAGAGATGGAAGGATCCTAGGCCCAAATGGCAATCAAATTCCAAAATACAGTAGCTTAACCTAGAGCCTTCCTGGACCCTAATACATCCAACATAAAAGGAGCAATAGGCATGCTGCATATGTGGTACATTCCTGTGCCTCCAGCTACTCAAGAGGCTGAGGCAGGAGGGCAGCTTGAGTCAAGGATTTCAAAGACCGCCTGGGAAGCATACCAATGCTCTGTCTCAAAATACAGCTACTTTTATATGCACTCATAGAATGATGTCAGGGGCTTATTGTGGTTTTTTAAATATAAATCTGAGGACCCAGTCCTAGCCGAGGCCCGGAGAGTGTGTGGGAGAGCTTCCCGCTACCCTGCGCCTGCAGGACCTACTACTGGTCCTAGCCCAGGCGCAATGTGGGAAAGACCCTCTTGCACCTCCTTGGAACGCCCCCCACCACTCTGCAGCACCTCCCGAACCCTGCCCGTCAAGTAAGAATTTCTGCCCTGTTCTGGGAACCCCCATACCCAATCCTAGCCCAGGCCCAGTGAGTGTTTGGGAGAGTTTCCCACTACCTGAGCCCGCAGAACCTAATACTGGTCCCAGCCCAGGCGCAGCATGGGTGAGACCCTCTTTCACCCCCTTGGGATGCCCCCCACCACTCCGCAGCACCTCACCACCATGCCCGCCCAGTAGGAATTTCTGCCACGTTTTGCGAACCCCCAGACCCAGTCCTAGCCCAGGCCCAGTGAGTGTGTGGGAGAGATTACTGCTACCCTGCGCCAGCGGGACCTAATACTGGTCCCAGCCCAGGCGCAGCATGAGTGACACTATCTTCCTCCCCTTTGGGACGCACCCGACCACTCCTCAGCACCTTCCCCACCCCGCGCGCCCAGTAGGAATTTCTACCGCGTTATGGGAACACCCAAACCCACTCCTAGCCCAGGCCCAGTGAGTGTGTGGGAGAGCTGCCTCTCCCCCCTACTCCAACTTGTCCCCTCCAGGCTCAGCTCAAGACTGGCATACAGGCCTGGGGTGCAACCCTGCAGCTGCAATACCTGCAGAGAGTGTAGAGGATAGAACCACTCAGAAAGTCCAGGAGCAGAACATCTTGCTAGAGGGACACAACAGGTTCACCCCCAAGGGCAGCAGCAGGAAGGAGCTAAGCACAGCAGACAGACCCAAGCCAGGCACAGTTGGATAAATCCAAACTTTGTAGATATGCATGTGAACTTCAGTACGTGCTAAGGTTACAACTACAATGAAGATCTACAACAAAGGTCAGAAGACAGTGCTACGCAAAATGACGAGAAGGAACAAAATGCAATCTCAGAACCCAACCCCACCCGTAACAAGTACAGAGGACACTAACACAGAACAAATTGGGAATCACACAG